TTCATCAGTTCTAGATGTTCATCTAATGATGACTTTCTAAAAGTTTATTAGAATATTTTCTGTGATTTTATGAGATAATTTGCTAACAAACAAACTGCACACAGACAAAGCAGAAACAGATAAAACCATGATCGCTCTTCCTTCTCCTTCAGCGCTGAGACAACTGTTTCATGTTGAATCCAGTAAAAGTGATTTAAAGGTTAAAACAAGCAGCAAACATGTTTTTGTTCTAAAAAGGTTTTTAGACGTTTGGAAAGAGAAACTTCAAAACAGACGTGTTCAAGTTTAACTTTTGAAATGAATGAAACATTTATAACTGAATAAATTGTGACATATCAGGGAATGATTTTAGTTGAACAAACATAGAAAACCTCCAACAGCTGCAGTGAACTGACCTCAGAACCTCCAGTGTGCAGTTTGGACTCTCCAGTCCAGAACACAGATGCATCACTCCAGAGCCAGACAGCTGGTTCCGACTCAGGTCCAGTTGTGTCAGATAGGAGGGGTTGGACTTCAGAGCTGAGGCCACAACTTCACAATGAGTCTCTGAGAGTCCAACAGCAGCAGCAGCTCTGTGATGATCAAAAAAGTAAAGTGAGTTGTAATAAAATCAGCCAATCTGTCTGATAAACACAGACTGAAATCATCTGATGACTAAACAGTGATGTCATCATGTGATGAACATCTGCTCTTCACATCTGGGCTTCATCTCATCCCATCTGACTGAGTTTGACATGATGCAGTGAATCTCTTCGGTCTCTTTCAGAGCTGCAGACTTTGCAGGACAATCTTTGTTTTGCTTTAATCTGCAGATGAAGAAGGGAACATGGTGTTACATTTCTGCTTCCTTCATGTCCATAGTCTGTCAGTGGATCTGATCCAGAGTCAGAATCAAGATGCCTGCTTTAGAAAAACTCTTGGACTCTTTTCTCGTTTTCACTTCAGCTCAGAATATCTGGACTGAGTGGAGTTCAGTGAGCAGTTCCAGGTGGAAAGATGATTTGTTTGCTTCCTGTTCCTGTCAGCTCCAACTGTTCACTTCCACACGCAGGAAAATGCTGCTGATATCAAGCTTTCAATGTTCACAACATCTCAGCAGGTGGTGGTGGTGGGAGGTTCTTGTTCAGCTGAGGGGAGACATGGACCAATGCTTCAGAGTCATGAAGTTTAGCGGAAGATTCAAACTATTTCAAACTCACAGCTGCTCAAACTAAAGCTGCATTGTGGATTTTTACTCAGCTTCACTTTGAAATCAGACAAATATTTGACACTTTGACTCCATCTTCTCAACCATCTGAGGCCAAAGAGAACTGCTGGAAAAATCCACCATGCAACATTTGTTCAGGATCTGTGAGATGTTGAAGCTAACAGAACTTTGTTGTGTCATGTTTTAGCAGCTGCTAGCTCAGTTAGCCTGTTAGCATAACTTCCTGTTGTTCTCCACTGAGTTGTGACTGTTGTCTGCTGCAGGTCAGACTCTGGATCCTCACAAGGACTTCATCCAACCTCCCTGCACAGTCTGAACATGTTTGAAGGGAAGATGAAAACAGAAAACATAAAATCAGTGGAACTAGAGTGTGAATAGATTCACATTGACCAGTAGGGACAGTAATGGTCAGAAATCCACCAGGACTGGGATTAAGACAACACTTCTGTTCAGGACTGTAATATTTGCAGTGAGCTGAGACCCAGGAGGACTTCATGTGGTTCCTGTCAGACTCTGAGCTCTGTGTGGACACACTTCAGAGAACAGGGATGGATTTATGTTGTGTTCTTCCAAAGGAACAAAACAAATCAAGTTCAAATTCAACTAAACTTTGATCCACAAAGAGGAAGCAGAGACTTTTTCACTCCAACTTTTAGATCAGCTCAACTTTTACTCTTTTTATCCACATTATTTAAAGTGTTATGTTTATGATTAAACTGAGTAGATATTTGTAGACCAAATCCACATCTGTCCACATGAACTAAATGAGAGGACTACAACATTTCTAAGTTGACCTTTGACCCTGTAAACTTGTTCAGTGATTTCCATGAAAATGTTTAATGTGATGAAGATTAAAAAGTGTCTCTAACTTGATCCAAACAGAATTCCTCCATGGCTCTAATAACTACTACTAATAATTCAAAGTGCTGATCTCCACTGACATGATGGTAATGAACACATCTGCACTCACCGAAACTTTCTGCAGTTCCTCACAGCTGGAATCAGTCTCTGTCGTCCCTCATCTGATGTGTTGTACTTATCCAGGTCCAACTCATCCAGAACCTTCTCTGACATCTGTAGCATGTAGGCCAGAGCTGAACACTGGATCAACGAGAGTTCCTCTGATCTGTTCTCTGACTTCAGGAACTCTTGGATTTCTTGATAAACTGAGAGGTCCTTCATCTCCATCAGACACTGGAAAATGTTGATGCTTCTGTCTGGAGACTCTTCATAACTGTTCATCTCCTTCAGGTTGTTGATGATACTCTGGATGGTTTGTGGACTGGTCTCTGTCTGACCCAGCAGGCCTCCTAAGAGTCTCTGGTTGGACTCCACAGAGAGGCCATGAAGGAAGCGAACAAACAGGTCCAGGTGGCCATTTTTACTGAAGAGGGATTTCTTCATGACTTTGTCCAGGAAGTGCACCAGATATGAGTAACTGTCCTTCTCTCCCAGAAACATCTCCATCACCTCCATGTTCCTGGTGGTGAAACAGTGGAACATGTAGACTGCAGCCAGAAACTCCTGAACGCTCAGATGAACAAAGCAGTAGACTGGTTTCTGGAAGATCACACACTCTCTTCTGAAGATCTCTGTACAAACTCCTGAGTACACCGAGGCCTCTGTGACATCCAGACCACACTGCTCCAGGTCTTCTTGGTAGAACATGATGTTTCCTTCCTCCAGATGTTCAAACGCCAGCCTCCCCAGCTTCAGAAGAACTTCCCTGTCAGCCTCTGTCAGCTTCTGTGGACTGGTCTCAGGTCCTTCATGGTACTTGTTCTTCTTCCTGGTTGTCTGAACCAGAAGGAAGTGTGAGTACATGTCAGTCATGGTCTTCGGCAGCTCTCCTCTCTGCTCTGTAGTCAACATGTGGTCCAGAACTGTAGCAGTGATCCAGCAGAAGACTGGGATTCCACACATGATGTGGAGGCTCCTGGAGGTCTTTATGTGGGAGATGATTCTGCTGGACAGCTCTTCATCACTGAACCTCCTCCTGAAGTACTCCTCCTTCTGGGCGTCCGTGAAGCCTCGTACTTCTGTAAGCCTGTCCACACATGAAGGAGGGATCTGATTGGCTGCTGCAGGTCTGGAAGTGATCCAGACCAGAGCCGAGGGCAGCAGGTTCCCCTTGATGAGGTTTGTCAGCAGCACGTTGAGCGAGGACTTCTGTGTGACGTCAGAAAGCAGCTGACTGTTGGTGAAATCCAGGTGGAGTCTGCTTTCATCCAGGCCGTCAAAGATGAAGAGAAGTTTCCAGACAGCCAGCTTCTCTGCTGGGAGCTTCTGTAATGTTGGATGGAAAACATGGAGCAGCGTGAGAAGACTGTACTGCTCATCTCTGATCAAGTTCAGCTCCCTGAACGAAAGCACAACCACCACGCTCACATCTTGGTTCTCCAAGCCCTCGGCCCAGTCCAGAGTGAACTTCAGCACCGAGAAGGTTTTTCCAACGCCAGCGATGCCATTGGTCAGAACCACTCTGATGGATCCATGTTGCTCAGGTAAGGCTTTAAAGATGTCCTGGCACCTGATTGGAGTCTCCTGGAGGCTCTTGGTCCTGGAAGCTGTCTCCAGCCGCCTCACCTCATGTTGGGTATTCACCTCTTCACTCTGTCCCTCTGTGATGTAGAGCTCAGTGTAGATCCTGTTGAGGAGGGTTCTACTTCCTGTTTCATCACTTCCTTCAGTCACACGTTCACATCTCCTCCTCAGACTGATCTGATGTTCCTCTAAGACCTCCTGCAGACCCAGACCAACATCTGATGAAAAATGTGACACAGAGCAGATGTGAATGCTGCAGCAGAAACTCCAACGTTCTGATTAATGCTTCAATCTGAAGGATCTTTCTAATCATCTTAGATCTTCATTCTGTCCCACACAACAATGCGTCTGTATGAAGACAAAAGGGTGGACACAAATGTCTTACCTTGGACACAGATGCTCGGACTGGCTGTCTGCAGTCCACTTCTGGGTCTTTGTCCACACTGGGGACAGGAGGAGGGTCCAGATGATGTAGACTGGTCCCAGTATGAGGTGATGCAGCATCTGCAGAACCAGTGTCCACAGCTGGTAGAGACTGGATCCTTCAGGACGTCCTGACACAAAGAACAGCAGGACAGCTGCTCCTCCTCACAAACACCACTCCTCTTCCTCCCTCTGTGAAGACATTTACTGATGAAGAAGTGGAACAACAGGAAGTGTTGATCAGATCAGTTCTAACATCTGGCTGCTGCTTCACTCTGACACCAGGATGAGGAGAAAACTGTTGTTCAGATCCATCCACTAGAACTTCCTGAACCATCAGAGACAGGAACCAGAACCTCACTGACTCAGGCTGTGCTCTGAATTATTGCTGCAGGTTATTGAACTAAAATATTGAAGACAAGAAGATTCAGTCTAAATCAGCAACAGCTGTCTTACTTTATGTCTGAGGGTCCAGCTTCTTCACTGAGGTCTGGAGGAAATCCTTTGGACCAGTCACTCTTCATGGACAGACAGCTGGGTCCTGGAGGTTCTGCTCTCTGTCTGAGGTTCTGACCTCTGAAACACAAACATGTTGTTCTTCACATCACATGAATCCATGAAGAAAACCACTGAAGAAGCTCTGAACACACAAACTGCTGCAGAGACTCTGAAGGTTTAAAGGTCCAGAGTGAAACCTTCAGGATGGACTCACCAGTTTTCACCACATGACATGAAAACATGACGGTCAGCTCCTGTTAGTAAAATATTACTTTCTATCTGATTCATGGGGAACATCACAGCTTTTATTGCTCCGTCTTGAATCAAACTAGCTCAAAACAAAACCAACTTGAGGTTTTTCAACACGGTGTCACAACATTTTCCCTGATTGTTGGTCTCCATGAGTTCCTATTGGTCCTCTTGGTTCTGATCCAATAAAGAGTTGGTGTTGAGATATTACAGATTGTTCAGGAACAGGAAGGACTGGCCCCAGTTTGAAACTGGAACTGATTTGATGAAGAAATCAAACATGTTTTTTCACATGAACACATGAAAGTTGAAGGTTTGGAGGGTCCAGTTGTGTCCAGCCTGCAGGTCTGGTTCTGGATGGGTTTCAACTGTACACCCTAGAGCTTTAGTGTTTACATAAGTTGTCTTTTTTAATTCATAACCTAAACACTGTGTTTTTGACACGTTCATGTATCTATAGCTCCTACCTGAGGGTGAGAGTTTCAAGACAGGACAAAGTAGATGTTCTGGATCAGCTAGAACCGGTTCTGGTTTCTTCAAGGACCTCAGTGTGCAGATGTTCTGGATCAGTTAGAACCGGTTCTGGTTTCTTCAAGGATCTCTGGGTGTAGATGTTCTGGATCAGCTAGAGTTGGTTCTGGTTTCTTCAAGGATCTCAGTGGGTAGATGTTCTGGATCAGCTAGAATTGATTCTGGTTTCTTCAAGGACCTCAGTGTGCAGATGTTTTGGATCAGCTAGAATCGGTTCTGGTTTCTTCAAGGACCTCTGTGTGTAGATGTTCTGGATCAGCTAGAACCGGTTCAGGTTTCTTCAAGGATCTTAGTGTGCAGATGTTCTGGATCAGCTAGAACCAATTCTGATTTCTTCAAGGACCTCAGTGTGTAGATGTTCTGGATCAGCTAGAACCGGTTCTGGTCTCTTCAAGGATCTCAGTGTGTAGACATTCTGGATCAGCTAGAACCGGTTCTGGTATCTTCAAGGATCTCAGTGTGTAGATGTTCTGGATCAGCTAGAACTGGTTCTGGTTCTTTCAAGGACCTCAGTGTGTAGACGTTCTGGATCAGCTAGAAACGGTTTTGGTTTCTTCAAGGACCTCAGTGTGTAGATATTCTAGATGATTCAGACTGGTACTAGCAACTTCCTGCCAGTGGGTACTATGTTCCTCAGTGTGTTCTTCTGAGCTGCTGTTTTACTGAAGCAGCAAACAATGTGAAATGTTCAAAGCCTCTCACAGAAGCTCAGTAAAACATGGAGCTGATGAACAAACAGGAAGTTGTGTTGTTACTTTCTTCACCTCCGTCTCTTCCCTCCTTTCTTTCCAAGTTTCTGTGGAGATTCTGTGTGAGGACGGAGCCGTTGATGACTCGTTCTAATATTCAAACTGAATGTTTTGGGTTCGCTCTGTAGGAGAACTTCCCTTGTGTTCTGGATACGTTGGATGAAGCTGCCTGCAGTGTTTCCATGATTCAGTCCAGAGGTCAAAGGTCACTCCAGCTAGTAATACAAGTGTGATCATGAAGCAGACGAAGCCTTGGTTTTACAGAGATTCATGTAAGTAAGTAGTAAGTAAGTAAACTTTATTTATATAGCACTTATCATAGATACAATCACAAAGTGCTGTACAACAATAAAGAAATAAAAGCTTAAAATAAAATAAAATAATAACAACTCATTAATAAAAACAGTAAAAACAGCTTGTAAAAACAGTAAAACATTTAACTAAAGCTTGTCGAAATAAAAATGTCTTAAGTTGCGTTTTAAAAGAATCAACAGAGACGTTCACACGGAGAGACAGGGGCAGGGCATTCCACAGCCGGGGGGCTACGGCCTGAAAGGACAGGTCACCCCGAGTTTTAAACCGGGTCTTAGGAACCTTAAGAAGGTTCAGCGCTGAAGACCGAAGGGTGCGGGCTGGAGAATAAGGAATCAACATTTCAGTGATGTACTGGGGGGCCTGTCCATTTAAAGCTCTAAAAGTCAAAACTAAGATTTTAAAATTAATTCTAAATTCAACAGGCAGCGAATGAAGAGAAGATAAAACTGGTGTAATGTGAGCCCTTCTATTGGTTCCTGTTAAAAGCCTCGCAGCAGAGTTCTGGACCAATTGGAGACAAGCGACGGCAGTTTTGTTAAAACAAGTAAAAAGGGAATTACAATAATCTAAACGAGAAGAAATAAAAGCATGAATAATCATCTCCAGGTCAGATCTGGATAACATTGCCCTCAGTTTAGAAATGTTTCTCAGATGATAAAAGCAGTTTTTTACCAGAAGCTTTGAATGTTTGTCCAAAGACATAGACTGGTCGAACAGAACACCGAGGTTTCTGAGGTTCAGCTGAGAAGAAGAGCCCAGAGAACCGAGGTGTTGTTTAATCCAAGGAACTTTCTGTTCAGGGGCAATGATCAGGGTTTCCGTCTTGTTAGAATTTAACTGAAGGCATGTCAAGTTGAACAGTCCACAGTGGAGACAAGAACAAAGTAAAAAGCAGCAAACAGACAGAGTCAGGCTGAACAAGTCACTGCAGTCGCTCTCATTCATGTCACATCTTCATGTTTCTGTTTGAAAAGTCAGAGGAAAAACTTCCCATCAAAGCAGACTGGGAATTCACCAGTTTTCAACAAGAACTCAAACATGAAATTCTCTTCTTTGTTCTTTGAGGACTTACAGGACTCAGTTAGAAACAGTTTTCTTACTTTGGGTCTGAGGGTCCAGGTTCAGTACTGAAGTCTGGAGGTCCACTTTTGGACTGGTCACTCTTCATGGACAGACAGGTGGATCCTGGAGACTTTTCCTTCAGACGACCTTCCATCTTCTGGACTTCAGGTGGTCTGAGAGAGAAGCCAGTAGAACAACCGAACACGTTCACACACGTACAACTACATGATTGTCTTTGTTCATATTCAATTTTTAGGTCTGTTAGCAAAATATCTTATGAGTCAATGAACAGATCAGTCTCAGAAACTTTTTCTAGATACACCTGCAACTAACTAATTTATGGAGTCAACCTGATTCAAGATGGCCACCACAGCTAATTGATGCTGGTCAGTTTTCCAGATGTTGAGCTGAGGTTTGTTGTGGTTGTAGCTGAGAGTCATCCTTGACACACACTACGAGCTTTGACACAACACACTTTTTATTTGCTGCAGGTTAGAGAACCAACTGTTTTCCTTTTGAAGAATTTAACTTTTATGACTCAATAAATTTATAAAAACGGTCAAAATCAGGAATTCCACAGTTTCTGAGCTTGATTAGCTGTGGCAGCCATCTTGAATTTAGGTACTTCAAATGTTCATTAGTTATAGATTTACATTCAATGATTACTTTATGAAAGATTCACTATTTGTTTACTAGATCTTAAGATCTTTTGCTAACATAAATAGCAAACACAAGAAAATACATGATTGTCCACTTTTAATGTTGATGACACAAATATGATGCAGTACAACTACGTGATATTTCAAAAGTAATATTCATCATCCACCAACGGACTGGAAAAGGAATGTGAGGCCTTTAAATTAATTTCAGGTGTTTTTGTTTGGAAACAATTCAAAGTGTCTTTAGAAGAAGGTTAGAAAAATGACTCAAAACCCTTGTTGGATAACAGTTGAAAGGTTTTATAAATCTATGTCATGATCCAATATTTCACATTTTTATTCTCACCACAAAGATAAACTCCAGACTCTACAAAGAAACTTAGTGAAACTTTATTCTGAGGGTAATCCTGTAAACTGGGACAGTTTGCTGGTTTTTATTGTTCCTCCCAGTTTGACAGAAGCTTCAATGTGATGATAAACCTGAGATCAAACCAAAAACGTGATGCAAACAGAAAAATGTTCCCTGTTGGACGAGACGGGAGCTTTTAAAATATCAAACTTTACACAAATCTTTGTTCCAGTGGTGGAAAACTGAGTTTATGTTCAAACAACAAACATAATCTGAAAGAAAACTCTGTTTTTCATGAGGATGACAGGAATGAAGTGTTTGGAGCTGCTCTCTAAAACACACTCTCTGCTGCACTTCAACACAGGACTTTATAACAGGGACTTCTGGGAAGATGGCGGAGTGAGCAGTCGCAGCTTGCAGGCTCTGGTGTAAATAGTTTGTGTACAGTCCTTGAATGCAATTTTGTGTGCTTTTGCTACACGCAGCAAGTTAATTGAAAGTTTCTAAGAAGTCTGATGAATATTTTGTAGCGAAAAATAAACTTTACAAGTGTCTTTTCTTGAACGGGCTAACACGTGGACGAAAAGTTAACTATGATGGACGAACATGACTATGGCGTGGTTGCTCTTCCCAGTGTCAAGTAAACTCGTTTAGTGAATGAAATCATATCTGCCAATGGCTTCCAAGTAACAGATTTGTACCCTCTGTAATGTAGAAGAATTGTTTCTATGCATTGAGTATTATGTGATTGTAATAAGTTGTTCTACATCTTGTAATTAGGGTGAAGTGAAATAATGATACTGTATAAAATGAAATGCTGTGTTGTTCATGCTGTGGTCCGGAAGAAGGGAAGAGTGATGAGTTGACACCTATAAAATGAAACACTGTGTTGTTCATGCTATGGTCTGGGAGAAGGGAAAAATGATGAATCGACGCCTATAAAAAACAGCCAAACAGCAGTAAAGAGAACCATCTGTGTTCTAGGGAAAGATTACAAAAGAAAGTGGTGAGTTGACATCTTTAAAACACTTTAACAACAAAATAACACAGCAGCAGAAGGAGCCAGCCACGCTCTAAACGGCTGACCTAATCAGGAAAACAGTACACGTAGAAGCCTAGCAAAGCAGCCGAACAAGTCTGCACGTCACCATAAAAGGGCAGACAGTAAGAAGAAACATGTGTGGTAACTTGTAAGCTTGTGAGCTGAGGAGCAGGAACAATACAGCTCAAATAACTTATAAGGGACAAATTGGAGACAGTCCAACTGTCTACCAGAGGGCCAACCTTCCTAAGAACTAAAGTCCAATCAGAAAACGACACCAAGCTAGTAAAAGGGAAAACTGGGTTGTCCAGTAAAAAGATCACCTATTTAAACCAAGCCCATTGTCAAGTCGGGGCTGAACGGACCGTGGAGTTGGAAGGATGAGGGCAATATAGCTTTCCCACCAAAGCTACTCAAAGGGATCAGGAACAGCTCAAAAGAAGACTTCTTTTCCATCAAGATAGGGAGATTCTTTTGTTCAGCCGAGCTGACACCAGACCAGATTCCTAAGGATTAGGACTGCTCTTGGGGAGTTAAGGGAGATCCCTTCCAGGGCTCTGGAGGAGATATTTATTGTGCCATTATCCAAAAGTCTTCAGGTAGAAATGATGAGCGACCCCATACATATTGTCCAAATGCGAAATTTTATATGAAGTAACAGTGTTCCAATAGTTAATAGGAAGGGTTAGATTGAGAGTGTTGTCCTGCTTTTAGCCTACTTGAAAAGTTACTACAAGATCTGGGCGCTATCAAGGTGGACTGTAACAGGTCTAGCTAAGCTTGGTTGGGTTGTGAGACAGTGATTAGGGTTATTGGGATTTAACATGCTGTGGGGCTCCAAGTGCATGTTAGTCCATCCTCGTGGGCATAGGCTACTCTGAAATGACAACCTAAGCTTTAGGAGACAAGATTCTCTAACTCAGCTCATCGGAGCCAAGAGAGCCTCGCCTCAGTGGACACCTCAGGACCCTAAATGTCTCACTAGACCAATAAGACACTTGCTGGTACCAGGCATGAGCTCTCTGTCATTAATCTTTTTAAATGATCAAATTCAACCAATTATAATGTGCTGATAATGCTGTACCCCTGCAAATCACTAATTAAAGCAAGCATAAAGTGTAAAATTCTGGACTATCATTTCTACATGTTTGTACTCAAAAAGTTGGAAGGCTTCGTTCGAGTTCATCAAAAATGAGGAGGTTTTTAAAGGTTTCACAGCTTGGATCAAAAAACACCCTGGAATCTTGTGCCTAGATTCTAAAAACTACCAGATCGGTAACAATCAGTGGCGGCGCCAGGGGGACGCTAGGGGGCGCTATAGCTACCCCTAGAAAAGTTATAGCACCTCCATAGCACCCCCAGGAAATATTTAGATTTTTTTCTTCATCTAATTTAATATTTTAAATATGTAGTTGTGGCATTTTCTTCTAAAGACAAATATATATAAAAAGAATCAACCATTCTAATTTCAGTAAAAAATAAAAATAAAAAAAATAATTCAACCTGATTTGAACTTTGCGTATTATTACTTCCGGGAAGCAATTGAGAGGAACACGCTGCGCAAATATGGATCGTTTTTTGCAACCAAAAGTTCCACGGATGGAATTTGAGAAGGATGCATTTTTGGAAGCAGAGTCCGACCAACAAAGAAATATTAATCTGGATGAAGAAGATAAACTGTGCAGTTATCCTTCCACTGCTGCTGAGAATGCTAACAGTGTTAGCACTGGACAGCTAGAAGATCTAAGCAGAAGTCCTCAAGATGGACCAAGACGACCACTTCTGCAAAAATACCCATCACGCTTGTTTGGAGTGCAACAGAGAAGTTTTAGTAAAGGCTGGCTCGATCAATATTTGTGGTTAGAATACAGCGTGAGTAAAGATGCCGTGTTTTGTTTTGCTTGTCGGCATTTTCTAAAAGGAGGACACAGGTTCCATCTTGAGCCAGCATTTACCGCGCTCGGCTTTAACAACTGGCGGAAAGCAGCAGCGTCATTGAAGAGCCATCATGAAAGCGCCGGACACAAATTTGCAATGGAAGCGTGGAGTGAATTCAAGTTTAAACAAACGAGTGGATCAAAACTCCCCAACATGCTCGACAAAGGACATTCTGCATTGGTTCAGGAGAACCGGAGGTACATGATGGGTGTTGTAGAAAGTTTGCGCTACACAGCTTGTCAGGGAATCGCACAGCGCAGTCACAGTGAGAAACAGGATTCAGCTAACAAAGGTAATTTTCGTGAGATGCTTGATGTGATTGGAAAATTTGATCCCAATGTCCAAAAAAAGCTGACAATTAATCCATCTAATGCTAAGTATGTTCATCATGACATACAGAACGAAATATTTAATGTTATGGCTGAAATGATAAGAAAACAAATCAGCAATGAAGTGAAAGAAGCTCAACACTTTGCTATTTTGGTGGATGAAAGTAAAGATATCAGCAAAAAAGAACAAATATCTGTTATTGTTTGTTATTTGCAGCCAGATTCAGAGAAGGTGGTGGAAGAATTTTTGCATTTCACCCCAGCAGAAGGATTAGATGCAGACTCACTTTTTGACTGTATCAAAATGACCCTCAGTCGTTGTAATATTGATATAAATTGCTGTGTCGGACAGTGCTATGACGGTGCTGCTGTTATGTCCGGGTGCAACAATGGAGTTCAAGAAAAGTTGAGAAAAGAGGTGCTGCAAGCTGTGTACATTCACTGCCATGCTCACAGGCTGAATCTTGTGTTAGTAGACTGTGTACATAATGTTGATGCTGCAGCCGATTTTTTTGAGATATTGCAAATGCTTTACAAGTTTTTTTCTGGGTCTGTTGTTCATGATCTTTTTTTGAAGAAGCAGGAAGAACTTGTGTCAGCTGTACAGCGCCTAGAACTTAAAAGACTCAGTGACACCCGCTGGGCGTGCCAGTATGATTCCATACGTGCTGTCAAAAAACTCTCCCAGCTGTTATAGCTCCGCTGCACGATGTTGTTGACCAGAAAAATGCTAAAAGGAGGACGGAGGCTAAAGCTCTCAGTGCACTTATAGATAAGAAGTTTGTTCTGCATCTTGTAATTTTTGAGGATATTTTCAGAACAACAAAATTCATGTCT